GATAGATAGATAGATAGATAGGCAGGCAGGCAGGCAGACAAGTGCCAAAACATTAGTTCTTCTTTATTGAAGAATCTCAACTAATGAATGTGGGAGAAATTGCAGGAATTTTTGTATAGGCATCATAATAATAACTGAGTCCGACAAGGCATCTGTCTCTCTCCACCCATGTTTTTATTAGTATTAAAAATAAACCAAAAGATCTGAAATATGTTACTAAACTGATTTATAAGAAATATCAAGAATAGGCAAACCTGTATTTAATACAGAGCCTCACTATGTAGCCCATCTGAGACTAGCCTCAAAGTCAAGATCCTAATGTTTCAGTCTCCTGTATAATGAAACAACAAGCATGTACTACTAGGGATTTGTTTTTAGTTATTTTGAGACAGGGTTTCTTTGTGTAGTTTTTGTGCCTGTCCTGGATCTCGCTCTGTAGACCAGGCTGGCCTCGAACACACAGCAATCCACCTGGCTTTGCTTCGTGAGTGCTGGGATTAAAGGCATGCGTCACAAGTGCCTGGCTTCTTTTATGGTTTTCTATGAATTTTGTTGTTTTAGCTCTTCGATTTGTTATATCCTTAGTCCCATTTGTGGTTTTTTGTTGTAGTTGTTATTGTGGTTACCTCGTTTTGTTTTAATTTTTATGCATATGGGTGATTTACCTTCATGTATGACTGTACACCACATGTGAGCCTGGTGGTATCCATAGAGGCCAGAACAGGGGGTTGCATTCCTTGGGAATGGAGTTACAGACAGTTGTGAGCTGTCACATGAGTGCTGAGAATTGAACCTGGGTCCTTTGCAAGAGCTGCTGGTGGTCTATGCTCTTAACTGCTAAGGCATCTCTCCAGCCCCTTGATCCTTTTTGAATGAATTTCTGTGCTTGCTAAGAAAGGGGCCCAGTTTCATTTTCATTTTTATGTGTGTGTGTGTGTGTGTGTGTGTGTGTGTGTGTGTGTGTGTGTGTGTGTATCCAATTATCCTACTATAACTATTGAATTGCATTATCATTCTCTCTCTCAAAGATTTATATTAGGAGATAAGGAAGAGGATATAAAGTTAATTGTTTTTTTAGTTCTAATTCTGTCATAGACATTGTTTCTGGTTGTGAATAATGTACATAAAAGTATATTCAATAGTGAAAGTATAAAAGCCAATGTGAAGCGCCATAGCTTCCACTTTAATGGCTATTCTAACTGTATAGAAGTTCATTGAGTTGGGCCTGCTTAATTTTAGTGTGTAATTTTTTATTTGCAACATTTTATAATAAAATTTAAAATAAATTTAAAAGAGAAATAATATAAAAATATTCCAAACATATTTATGCATTTTAAAATTATATATATGGGTGTTTGTCTGCCTATATTATACTACATGCGTGCCTTGTGCCTCCAGAAGCCAGAGGAGGGCTTTGGATCCTCTGGACCTGGAGTTAGGGATGGTTGTGAGCTGTCATGTGGGTACTGGGAATTGAACCTGGGTCCGCTACAGAGTAGCCAGTGCTCTTAACCTCTGAACAGTCTCCTCAGCTCTGTTTCCACCCTACCCTGTCTTGGCATGCTTGTTAAAAGCAATTCGCCTGTGTAAGGGTTGCTCTGACAACTCCACTTTAATTCACGTATGGATTTATACTTCTTCATATGCCAACAGCACATAGTTTTGATTACCACAGCATTACATTTACTTTTTCAATTAAGCGGTATAATTCCTCCAGCTCTGTTCTTTCTTTTCAAGGTTACTTTGACTGTTCTGAGTCAACTGAAGAATCATGTACTAGTTTCTGAAGTAAAAAAAAGTTGTGATTTTGATAGGAATTGTGTTGACTTATTCATAAATTTGGGAAGTACTGTCGTCTTCATAGTACTGTAACTTCTAATCCATTAACATGGTTTTTAGTGATTTATCTAGATCTTCTTTAATTTCTTTGAACAATTTGCGAGTACAAATTTTATGCTATTGTCAAATTTCTTCCTAAGTAATTTATTCTATTATCAATGAAATTATTTTAATTTCATTATTGAATTGCTGATATAGTGCAGAATTACAAATGATTTTTACATATTTATCTTGTATCCTACAACCTGTCAAATTCTTTTATTCCTGGGATAAATCTTACTTGGACATGGTATATAATATTTTATGTGTTTAATTATGGGTAACTAGATTTGGTTTGATGTGTTTTGCTGAGATTTTTATACTTGTATGCATAAGAGATGTTGTATACTTTTCTTTCTTTTTAATTGTCCTTAGCTTTTAGACTGTTTGACTTTGGTATTCAGGGTATCAGGAAAAGTTAAGAAGGGTTTTGTATTAGTTAGGGTTTCTATTGTTGTGAAGAGACACCATGAACATGGCAACTCTTATGAAGGAAAACATGTAATTGGGGCTGGTTTACAGTTCAGAGGTTTAGTCCATCATCATCATGGCAGGAAACATGGCAGTGTGCGGGCAGACAGGGTGATAGAGAAGGAGCTGAGGGTTCTACATCTTGATCCGCAGGCAACAGGAAGTGAACTGTGTACCGCAGTGAGTATAGCTTGAGCATGTGAGACCTCAAAGCCCACCCCCACAGTGACACACTTCTGCCTACAAGGTCACACCTCCCAATAGTGCCACTCTCTTTGGGGACCATTTTGTTTCAAACCACCACAGGTTTCTTCTTTCACTTTTGAAAGGGTTTGTCTAAAATTGGTGTTAAGTCTTTGTGGGAAATTTCCAAATTACTAACTCAGTCTCATCGTTTATTTATTTGTTGGCACTTTTTTTTCTTTGTTGTAGCTCTGCTCAGATTTCTTACCTCTCCTTGGGTTATATTTAGTGATGTGTGTCTTTCCAGAAAATGTTCCTATAGTGGGTGGCTGTTAGAGCCATTCCCTGAAGCACCGCCCCTAGTGACATTACACCTGCCTATGACCTTGAGGTACACGCCGCTGGGGGACCCTTAAGACCTGGGATGCACATAGCTCTCTCTACCTTGTGATTTGGGATGCTGGGATGGACCAGGGCAGAGCTTGCCATAGAACTGTGTTGGACCGTGCCTCACCCTTCTAGGATCCTATGACAAATTCCTTTATTCTGTCTTGTGAATTAACCCCTAGATAAATTGCTTTGATCATTAAGCAGGCTCTGTGGATTGCTAGCGATATAATCCCATTATGTTCCATTTCATCTAAGTTATCTAATGTGTTGGCATCCATTTGTTCATAATGTTCATGTGTAATTCTTTTTCACTTCTGTAAGGCCAATAATAATAATGCATCCTCTCAGTTTAGAAAATTGAGGGTTTTTTAAATTTTTCCCTCTGGCCCCCACCTTCCAAGTGCTGGGTGGTCTCTGCCATGGCCAGCCCATCCTCTTGTTATCTAGAACAATTTCCCAGCTTTAAAAATAATCTGGGCCAAGTTCTTTTTCCCCACAGTACACCTAATTTGAACTTGTCTGACTCTTCCCATTCTTGGCAGTAATGCAACAGAACGGCCAGTGTGTTCTTTGTGCATCACATAGGAAGGTGATGTTGACTTATTCCAATATTAGGTAGCTTTGTTCACTAGATTCAGGTGGTTTCACCCGATTTCTCTATTGTGAAGTATCCTATCCTTAAAATTAATAAATAATCACTGGTGCGATATGTTGAGGGTGTGTGAATGTATTTAAAGCATGCTTTCTCTGCATAGTTTCAGGATCTTCCTGAGAGCCTTTCTTTTAACCCTTATTCAATACTTAGTGTGTGCACATGTGTGTGGTTTTTCGAGACAGGGTTTCTCTGTGTAGCCCTGGCTGTCCTGGAACTCACTCTGTAGACCAGTCTGGCCTCGAACTCACAGACATCTGCCTGTGTCTGCCTCCTGAGTGCTGGGATTAAAGTGTGCACTACCACTGCCTAGCTAGCATCAATTTTTAAAATGTCTTTTGATAAATTCCAGTTCTGCTTCATACTGGCGTGTTCTGAAATTCCTCTCTGTACTGAAACCAAAAAGCCAGGTTACCTGAGTAGAGGTCCCTAAAATATAAAGGGATGCCTTAGGCTGCTGTGCATGGCAGTGTAGGGCTGTGTCTTCTCCCTGCTGACAGTACCCTAATGTGCATGATGGCATGACATCATAGGGAAAAGATCACCTGAGAATACTGGTGGACTCTGGAAAGCAAAGGTAGTAGTAGTCCCAATATGAAATATTTATTTGTGATATTTAATTCATTTCCTAAAAGAGGGAGTAAGGGTTGAAATAAACTGTTAGTAGTTACAAATTCTGGTTGTTGGGATTATGCCTGTTCAATTATTCTTTCTACTATTTATGTCAGGGGTTTGTTTGATTGTTTTTTGTTTTTTAGGCAGGTCTCACTCTGTGGCCTTGGTTGGCTTAGAACTTGCTAGGGCCGGGCGGTGGTGGCGCACGCCTTTAATCCCAGCACTCGGGAGGCAGAGGTAGGCGGATCTCTGTGAGTTCGAGGCCAGCCTGGTCTCCAAAGC